ATGTCTAAAAACTGTATGCTAAAACTTAGCATACCTGCTACAATAAAAAATGTAAATAGGACCCAGGGTGAGCTAACTAACATACTAACAGCAAAACGTCCAGGATACAAATGACTAAAAGACAATGAACAAAAAAGAAGCATGGAAGTATAACAATCATTGTCAGGTACAGCAAGAATAAAAGGATGTCACAAGCAAGAAAGTATCCAGGTAATAATAATGAGAGCTAGAGCCACCTTTGTTGCTTATAGTGTACCAGACACTACTCCAGGAACTTAAAAGCAATGAACTCTTTTGTTACAACCATTCTGTTGGTTAGGTATTGTTCTTATTATTTCTGGTTTTGCACAGATAAACTGAAGCATAGGGAGGTTAATTAACTTGAACTAGCCAAACAGCTCACAAGTGATGGAGTCAGGATTTACACACTTTCAGTCATGTTCTCAGCTTCCACTCTCTACTTAGAGTGATATAAAGTATGACAGAGTAGACTGTGAATGGCCATGACTGTCTTTTTAAGGGATCTAGACTGTATTTTGTAGGCAAATGACTATATGAGCAAATCTATAAAAAATAATGCTGGAAAAAACAAAAAAGGTTTAATTAGAAGAAGAAAGACTAAAATAGAAAAAGCAGATAATGTCCATAAGAAAGCAAAGGAAAGGATATTAAGAATCTAATCTACACAAGTAACAATATCATTGAGGAGGGCTATTACCAGGGATAAAAGGAAACTTCAAAAAGAAGACTTAATAATTCTAAACATTTAGACAGCTAATATCAAAGGTTCAAGACACTTGAAGCAAAAACTGATAGAACTTCAAGGTAAAATACATGAATACATATTATAGCCAAGGATTTCAACAGACCTCTCTCAATGATCTGTGGAAAGGTGGATAGAAGTCACTAATGATACAGAAGAACTGAACAACACTATCGACCAATTGTTGATCCTAAAGTTGATATTTATAAGACACTCCAACCAAAACCAGCAGAATATTTTAGAACACAGAGTACTTACCAAGGAATGTCACAAGTTAAACCATGAAGCAAGTCTCAATAAATTAAAAAGGGACAATTTAGACAAGTATTTATGACAAAGAAGTAATTAAATAGAAAACTAATAGTAAAAAGAAATCTGGAATATCCCCCGAATATTTTGGAATAAAATATACCCTCTTGAGTAACACATCTGTCAAAGAATAAATCAAACACAAAATTGCCAACTCTTAACTGAATGAAAATGAAAATACAAGAAATTGGAATAGGTGGAATACAACTAAAACATGCTCAAAGAGAAATTAAGGCCTATTTTAGAAAAGATGTAAATATCAAATTATTAACCTCAGATTCATCTAAAGAAATCAGAAAAAGAGTTCATAAGCAGAAGGAGAAAAATAGAAATAATAAAGAGCAGAGGTCAATTAAAAGAAGAAAAAAACAACTAATAAAATTTCTTTGACAAGGTCAATAATACTAGTAAATCTCAACTCAGACTCATTTGGGAAGAAAGCAAGAGATAGAAGATAGAACTTATCAATATTTATCCATATAAGATATGAATAATTATACTATAAATAGAAACAAAACATCATTGAAGATCCTACAGACATAAGAAGGACAAAAAAAGAACAAACAACATAAAAACACTATTTTATGAAAGAAATCAGATTTTTAGTTAAAAATTCTCCCAGAAATAAAACTCCAGGCCCTGATGGCTTTTTTGCTGAATTCTGTAAAACATTTGGCCGACAATTAACACCAATTCTGCATAATACCTATCAGATAAATAAAGCAGAGGAAACACTTCTCACTTGATTATGTGAGACCAGCATTACACTGATACCCACACCAGACAAAGACATTAAAAAAAAAAAAAAAAAACCATAGATCTATTTCTGGTGAACATAGTTGTAAAAATTACCAACAAAATTTTAGCACAATTGAATCCAAAAATATAGTAAACAAATAGCATATATGACTCCATTAGTTTTCACACTGCTTATAAAGCATACCCAAGACTGAGAAGAAATAAGAGGTTTAATTGGACTTATAGTTCCACATGGCTGGGAGGCCTCAGAATCATGGTGGGAGGTGAAAGGCACTTCTTACATGGCAGTGGCAAGAGAAAAATGAGGAAGAAGCAAAAGCAGAAACCCCTGATAAATCCATCAGATCTCATGAGACTTAATTCACTATCATGAGAATAGCATGGGAAAGACAGGCCCCCGTGATTCAATTACCTCTACCTGGGCGCATCCCACAACAGGTGGGAATTCTGAGAGATACAATTCAAGTAGAGATTTTGGTGGGGACACAGCCAAACCATACCCACGACCAAGTAGGAACTTTCCAGGGAATGAAAGGATTTAACATTTGAAAATCAATCAACAAAACTCACTACATTAAGTGACCAAAACTGAAAACCATATGGTGATCTTAATAGATCCATAAAAAGCATTTTCCAAAATACTTCACTCATTTCTAATGAAAGAACTCTCAGAGAAGTAGGAATAGAAGGAAATTTCCTCAATCAGAGGAAAAAGGCATCTATGAAAAACCTATAGCTAACATCATAATTAAAAAGTCCTAATGATTTCCCCAAAGATCAAGAACAAGGCAAAATATTTGCTCTCACCACTTGTATTAAGAGTTCTCGCAAGTACAATAAGTCAAGAGAAACAAATTGAAAGTATTTAAATAAGAAAAAAAATTAAAACATGTATTTGCAAATGATATGAGGTTCTATACAGAAAATTCTGAGTAATCTACAAAAAAAGCTACAAGAGCTATTAAATGAGATTGGGAAGATCTCAGTATTCAAGGCCAATACAAAAAGTCAATTGTATTGCTATATGATAGCAGCAAAAAGTTGGAAGATAAATTGAAAAAATTAATAGCATCAAAAAAATAGAACACTTAATAAATTTTGTAAAACCAAAAGCTGCAAGTCACCTGAGAGAAATTGAAGAAAGCCTAAATAAATGTAGATACATATTAATAAGTGTGTTCATGGATCAGAACATGTTATTATTAGAATATCACTTCCTTCCAAATTGAACTTTAGATTCACTGCAATCTCAGCAAGAGTTTTTTTGGAAATACACTAATTCAAACATTTGCATGAAAGTGCAAAAGACCCAGAATTGTTAAAACAACTTTTAGAAAGTAGAAAAATATTGGAAAACTAACATTACCTGATTTCAAGATATAAATCTACTGGTTTCAAGATAATGTTGAGTTGATGTAAAGACAGAAAGATAGATCAATAGAACAAAATAGAGTGTACAAAAATATATAACTACATATACAATCAATTAATTTTCAACAAAGGCTCCAAGGCAGTTCAATGTGGACAAGATAATCACATAAACAAATAGTGCTGGGAGATGGGGCTACCTGTATGTCTAAAAACACAAAAGTTAACTTCATATTTCTTCTCATATCACATAAAAAGATTACTGATGACAGATCTTAGAATTGAGTATAAGATACAGGAGAGGCCAGGCACGGTGGCTCATGCCTGTAATCCCAGACCTGTGGGAGGCCGAGGCAGGCAGATCACCTGAGGTTCAGAGTTCAAGACCAACCTGCTTGAACCCAGGAGGCGGAGGTTGTGGTGAGCTGAGATTGCGCCACTGCACTCCAGCCTGGGCAATAGAGTGAAACTCCACCTCAAAAACAAAAAAAAAGACACAGAACAATGGCAGTTTTTGAGGAAAACTTAGAAAGAAATCTTAGTAATACTCAGTGTGACAAACTGGAAATAACCCAAAAGTGTATCAAATGAATTTAAAATTTTTACAATATTCATATAACTGAATACAACTTTGCAATAAAAGAAAAATATTTTGATACTATTTACATAACAGTCTAGAAAAATGCATAAACATTTATAGTGACAGAAAACAGATCAGAAATTGTTTGTATATTTGGAGTAGAGGGGTGGAAGGAGAGAAAGAGAAGTTACAAATGATCATAGTAAGAATTTTTGAGTTATGTCCATCTTCATTGATTTCATTGTGGTGTTGGTTTTATAGGTGTATACATTATGTCAAAACTCATCAAATTGTACAATTTAAGTAAGTGTAATTTATTTTAGCAAGGTTATACCTCAGGAAAGCTATCTTTAAAATAGCTCACATTTATGAAAAAAATGTAAAGGTTAGCAGCCTCGCGTCCTTCTTACATTCGATAGAGACTATCACCTGTATGTGTTTCTATTCACACTGACTCTTTGCCAATGCTTTATTACCCTAAGTTCTATCTATTTAGATTTTCTTACTTACACCTGTCTCTTACTACTTCAAATCAAAGTTTCCTGCCCTAAATTTTCACAGCTACTCCTATTGGAACTTATATTTGAAGCACTTTTTAATTTGACCACCAGAATCTCATGAATATACTTGTTTACTATTTATACAGTGTACTTTCTATATATTCAGATACATATAAGCTCCAACTTAGCTCCAACTTTTAAGTGTTGAACGTTTTCTCATGTTGCCAGTTAATAGATTCCATCCATATTCTTATTCTAGTGTAATTCTGTACTCTCATGTGGTTTCCAAATTTAAAAAGAAAACAAGCCACAATAAAAAGTCTAAAATAGAAACAAAAAGTCCTAATTTAGAAAACCAAGTTTAACTGGATTTAAGTATCTCAGGAACAGAAAACAGAGGACTTGAACATTTCATAAAAACAGCCCTCATTCAACATAGTTTAGAATAACATTTTCGACCTCAAATTTGGCACATAGAAGAAAGGATGTTCTTGCAATAATTTTGTAAAATTCTCAAAAACTTAAAATATTATATATTCTTGATTATCAAGGTAGTAAAGAATGTGACAAAAATTCAACAATTATAGGACATCAAAGATTAACAAGGTTTGACATCATCAACCTAGAGTTTTCACTAAAGGGAGAAATACAATGACAAAATTTTAAAAATTTTAAGAAAATCTCAACATTTCAGCACATTGCAATTAATTTGTAGCTAGACAAAATATTTTCCCCAAGTTGTTATAACCATGGAAAACTAGATGTCCTTTAATAACAGACATCTTAGAATACTTATTGTTATCTTGATGCTCTTTAAGAACTTCAAACGTTTTTACTACAGTAATTTGATTTTATTCTAAGTTGTTCTTCATTACCAATTCATAGAGCAAAAAGCATAAGCCAAACTTCCAAAGGACTCGTTATGTTCTCGGTTGAAATCAAATTAAAACTAAACACAGGAATGTGCCCTCAAGGCCATCTAAGTATATTTTTCTTTATATTTACACATTTTTTTTTAGTACTTGATCTATGACCATCTTCATTTCACTGAACTGAAGACTTTTACAAAGGAAATAAGTCTTTCTATCCAGACATTGAAATGTAAACTATACAAGAGGATAAAGAAGAACAACCAGGCTAAAACCAGGAAAGTAATGCTTGTCTCAGAAGGAATCAAATGAAAAGAGAATAAGAAATATGATGAATTATAATAAGGAGAAAGAGAACATTACATAACCTTAGATGTGTGATTAAGACTCAAGGAATTTAAAGTAGATGACAGATCTGCAGAAAAGACACTGGCTTTTCCGCTGGAAACGATATTTACTTATAAAGGAACGGCAAAGAAAAGATGGCCGCAGAGTAAACTTTACCCGTGTCAACAGGTTTATTGTAGGAAGGATATTTTGAGTAATTTTTTTCAATTATACGCTTATTTCAAAATAGGCATTTTATATGCCACAGACTTGAATGAAAGTAACACAAGTAATTTTATACTGCTACAGTTTTTATTATTCATTTTCCAACCTGTGTTCCAAGTCTTGGGGTTCTCTTTAATTTCCCTTATTGACAAAGCTACTTCCAGCTGCCCACTCTTTTCTAAAGTATGTTCTTCCAGAACCGCCTAGCTTCCGATTGCTAGCTTAGGTACAACCTGACTACAGTTCAGGATAGTTTTTTAAATTGTATATGAAAGACACCTTCTATTTCAAGAGTGAAAACCTGTCCATCGTTGGTATTAGATAAATCTTTGTGGACAGGATTTGTTTTTAAAACCTCTTCAAATTTTGCATCATCTTCTGAAACAACTGCTGGAATTCCTGCCACCTGGGGTGACTGAAGTCCAGTAGACATATTCGCTACCAGAGCCTCATTTTCAGGGGTTTGTTCAGATGGTGGAGGTGAACCTTCAGCAGATGCCTCTTATATAGGAAACTCCTCAGTCAGAAGCAAATCAGCGGGTGGGGAATGTCCATCAACAGGGGCCTCTTCTGCAGGGACCTCATCAGCTGCGAGAGAGTGTACTTCAGTGAGGGTCTCTTCCTCAGGAGTCTCCTCAGCTGGTGGAGGCTGAACTTCAGCAGGGGCCTCCTCAGCTGGTGGAGGCTGCACGTCAGCAGGAAGTTCTTCTGCAGGAGCTTCTGTAGCTGCTAGAAACTGAATCGCAGCAGAGGCCTCTTCTGCAGCTGTTGCAAGCTGATGTTCCTGAGCCTCTTCTCTAGGAGCCTCTTCAAGTAATTGGGGCTGAGCTTCAGCAAGGGCTTCTTCAGCAGTGGTAGGCTCTAATTTAGCTGGGGCCTCTTCAAGGGCACCCTCAGCTGGTAAAGGCCATACTTCAATGGGAGCCTTTTCAGATGAGGGAGACCAAATTTCAGAAGGAAGTTCTACTGAAGGAGACTCTTCAGCTGGTGGAGGCTGAATTTCAGCAGGAAACTCCACTAATGGAGCCTCTTTAGCTGGTGGAGGCTGAACTTTAACAGAATTCTCTGCAACTGCAGTGGCTGCCTCAGCAGCAATGGTCTCTTCTGTTGGTGGCTCCACTTGGACATAGATGTTTTCAGTGGTTCTGGGCTCTGCCTCAGCAGTTAACTCTTCAACTAATGAAGGCTGTATTTCAACTAATGGGGCTTCCTCAGCTGGTGGAGGCTAAACTTCTACTTCCTGAACACTCTGGCAATTCAATACCTGCTTCTCTAACACCAGCTGACTTTTCTTCAGGTACCACAGTTACCTCAACTAACTTGACTTCTTTTTTCTCCTCTACAGTGTTTCTGTTGGTGGAGGCTCTATTTCAGCAGGAGCCACTTTTTCAGCAGCAGAACCTTCTTGTACAACAGGTACAGTCACTTCTTGTTTAAGCTCATCTTCTAAGAGTACCGGAAAACCATGCTTAGTCTCCTGAGTAAATGAAGTTCTGCTGATACTTTTCTGCCTAATTTCTTCATTGCTACTTGTTGCTGGTTGAAATTCAGGGTGTTCACTAACAAAAAATCTTTCCCGAGGATTTATGTTTCAGGGCTTCTTCCTTTGACTTTATAAAAGAACTATCAGGGGAGTGTAGCATAGGTACACTGCCACATGTGTACCTAATGCAACTATCTTGCATGCTCTTCAACCATTGTGGAAGACAGTGTGGCGATTCCTCAAGGACCTAGAAATAGAAATTCCATTTGACCCAGCAATCCCATTACTGGGTATATATCCAAAGGACTATAAATCGTTCTACTATAAGGACACATGCACATGAATGTTCACTGCAGCACTGTTTACAATAGCAAAGACCTGGAACCAACCCAAATGCCTGTCGATGATAAACTGGACAGGGAAAATGTGGCACAAATTCACCATGGAATATTATGCAGCAATCAAAAATGATGAGTTCGTGTCCTTTATAGGGACATGGATGAACATGGAAACCATCGTTCTCATCAAACTGACACAAGAACAGAAAATGAAACATCGCATGTTCTCACTTATACGCGGGTGTTGAACAATGAGAACACATGGACACAGGGAGGGGAGCACTACACACGGGGTCTGTTGAGGGGAATAGGGGAGGGACAGTGGGGGGGTGGGGAGTTGGGAAGAGATAGCATGGGGAGAAATGCCAGATATAGGTGAAGGGAAAGAAGGCAGCAAATCACACTGCCACATGTGTACCTATGCAACTATCTTACATGCTCTTCACATGTACCCCGAAACCTAAAATGCAATAAAAAAATAAAATAAAATAATGCTTAACTATTAAAAAAAAAGAAAAAAAGAACTATCTGGCCTGGAAATAACTACTATTTCTGATTCACTAAACAATGTCTGTTGTTCCTTGTCCACTTTTTCTATGTGGGGGATGTTCATCATGGTCCAGTCTCCAGTACAGTTCTTCTGCTGAGATCTGTCCATTTTTAGTTGAACTGAAGGTATGTTTGGTGGAATTTTTACTTCCTGAACACTCTCTGGCAATTCAATACCTGCTTCTCTAACACCAGCTGACTTTTCTTCAGGTACCACAGTTACCTCAACTAACTTGACTTCTTTTTTCTCTTCTACAATGATATCTGTCTGGAGAGACTTACTAGTCATTTCCCATCCATGCTTTCTCTTTGTCCATGTTTGCTGAAGCTCAGAAGATATTCTGAGAGACTCATAGGCATTGGCAGGGTAGTTGCCTTTGCTTCCAGAAATATTAGCAATACTATGGGTAGCTTTGGGGCTAGATGACTGTGGCATGGCCATGTGTTTCCTTTGTCTTTTATGTCAGTTTGCTGGGATTTGTCCACCATTTGTTGGCTGAGTCGTCTTTTCTTTCAAATTTCTTGCCTCCATACTGAGACAGGCTTATCAGGGTCTTCACTTTCTTCCATCTTTAAGACTAGTGACTTCAAATTTATTAATTTTCAAGTAATGAGCAAAAATCACAAATGTACCAAGTGTCGAAGACTTTACCTATCTTAAGTGCCATTCTGTTGAGCTCCCTCAGCAAAAAGGTAATTTATAAGTTATTGCATTCCATACCCACACTCTTGTTGGATCCCACCTTATTCAGTAAGCATCTTTCTTGCTTAGTCTCTGTTATGACTAGATACCACTTTTAGAAGTTTCCTTCAAGGATCTATGACATCATAGCCAGTTCTGCCTTCGAGATCCATCAGTTGTGTTCCTAGGACTTTTAAACAGTATACACTCATAAGTATGCATAGGCTGCACTCATAGGTTGCAAGTGAGACATCTACTTTTTGAAACAAGTCAAGTTGAAAAAAGCATTTGTCTACAAAAGAACATTAGGTAAATTCCAGTGATGCCATTTTCTAATTGCTGAAATTGATGCTTTCAAACTTTCAAATCTGTTCTTTTCATCCTATTATCAAAGACAGTAAGGCAGAATTGAGAATGCTGCATCCTATTTTCTTTCTTTCTTTCTTCCTTTTTTTTTTTTTTTTTTTTGAGACAGAGTCTTGCTCTGTCGCCAGGTGCCAGGCTGGAGTACAGTGGCGAAATCTCGGCTCACTGCAATTATCACCTCCTGGGTTCAAGCAATTATGCTGCCTCAGCCTCCCTAGTAGCTGGGACTACCTGCACATGCCACCATGCCCAGCTAATTTTTGTATTTTTTTTAGTAGAGACAGGGTTTCACCATGTTGGCCAGTATGGTCTTGATCTCTTGACCTTGTGATCTACCTGCCTTTGCCTCCCAAAGTGCTGGGATGCCTATTTTCTTGTTTTTTCAGACGAAGTTTCGCTCTTGTTACCCAGGCTGGAGTGCAATGGCGTGATCCCGGCTCACCTCAACCTCCGCCTCCTGGGTTCAAGCAATTCTCCTGCCTCAGCTTCCCGAGTAGCTTGGACTACAGGCGCACACCACCATGCCCAGCTAATTTTTGTAATTTTAGTAGAGACGGGATTTCACCTTGTTGACCAGGATGGTCTCGATCTCTTGACCTCGTGATCCACCCGCCTCAGCCTCCCAAAGTGCTGGGATTACAGGCGTGAGCCACCGCACCCGGCCTATTTTCAATTGTAGAAAACAGCCAATAACATGTGTGAGGCTGTTCTATCAATGTATGTTTATATGACCTGAAAGGAAGTTACTACTGTTTGAAAAATGAATTCTGAAGTTCATCTCCATGTAAGCTCCTTTTCTACATCCTTAGCCTTCAGTAACTCAACAGCCTATTATCAAAATATAGAAGGCATGCTTATCTTCTAAAACATCTTGAGATACTTTAATTTTTATTTAACTATTTTGCAGGGTAGTTCTACCCCAAATTTGGCAACTAAAAGAATGAGTCTAAATACATGCCAGGTGAGATAAAATGCACCTTTTGAAGTACTCACATTAGACTCTGCTGAGAACTACATGGGAATGAATGACCAATGTAGATAAAAACTGTATTTTTATTTTTGTTTTGTTTTTTTGCAACAGGATCTCGTTCTGTAACCCAGGCTGGAGTGCAGTGGTGCAATCATAGCTCACTGCAGCCTCCGTCTTCCGGGCTTAAGCAATACTCCTACATCAGCCTCCGCAGTAGCTGAGATTACAGGCATGAGCTGCTGTACCAGCTGAAGACAAAAACATAAAATTGAAGCTATGAAAAGGAGGAATTCCAATCAAGCAGGCTGTAGATGGAATTGTATTAGATTTGCAATACAAATAAAATTTTAACTCTTATCACTCAAGAATTTTACTAGAAAGATGAATATTGATTAAACAATGTGCGAAAATACTGTGCATTAGTCTGAGGAAAGTTAAGAAAAGAAAATAAACTTTTAAAATACAGTCATATGAGACAATGTAATAACCATATGCCAAATAATAATTATGACTGCATTAATCTGGGAATATTTTTAAATTTATTTATGCCATATTGCCCCTAGAAAACATAGTGAATTGAATAATTCTCCTTTTTTTCACATGCATTGGTGTTCTGAGCTGAATGTTTGTGGCCCTGCTCTTTATCCACAAATTCATATGTTGGAACCCCCAAAGTTATGGTATTTAAAGATGGGGTCTTTGGGAGTTGCAGGCATACCTCATTTTATTACACTTCACTTTTTTGTGTTTTACAGACTCTGAACTTTTCACAAATTGAAAGTTTGTGGCAAGCCTGTATCAAGAAAGTTCATTGGTGTTATGAATAACATACACTGTACCCATTAGGTAATTTCTTATCATCTCTCACTTCCACCCCCAACACTTCTGAGTTTCCAATGACTGTCATTCCACACTCTGTATCCATGTGGATGCATTATTTAGCTCCCAGTTATAAGTGATAAGATGCATTGCCTTTCTGTTTCTGAGCTGTTTATCTTAAAATAATTGTCTCCAGTTGTATTCATGTTGCAGCAAAAAAACATGACTTTATTCTTTTTTATGGTTAAATAGCATTCCATCATGCATATACACTACATTGACTTTATCCAGTCATCCATTGATGGACACTTAAATTGATTCCTTATCTGTGCTACTGTGAATATTGCTGTGATAAACATTCTAGCACAAGTATCTTTCTGGTGTAATGATCACTCATTCTTTAATTCGATTATTTGGGGGATTTGTTCTATTGAGATTTTGAGCTTCTTATATATTCTGGTTATTAATTTCTTGTCAGATGATTAGTTTGCAAATAATTTCTCCCATTCTGTGGTTGTCTTTTCCTTTGCTGTGCCCATTTGTCTGTTTTTGCTATGGTTGCCTGTGCTTGCCCAGACCAATGTCCTGAAGTATTTTTACGAGTTTCATAGTGTTGTATCTTAGATTTAAGTCTTTAATCCATTTTGATTTGATTTTTATGTGGGGTGCAAGATAGGGGTCTAGTTTCATTCTTTTGCATATAGTGATCCAGTTTTCCCAACACCATTCATTGAAATGACTATCTTTCCCCCATTGTGTGTTCCTGTTGCCTTTCTCAAAAATGAGTTGGTTGTATGTAAATTCTTGGATTTATATCAAGGTTCTCTATTCTGTTTTATTGATCTATGTGCCTGTTTTTATTCTAGTACTATGCTATTTGATTACTATACTTTGTAATAAATTTTGAAGTCGGGTAGTATGATGCCTCCAGCTTTGTTTTTTTGGCACAGGACTGCTTTAGCTATTCAGGGTTTTTGTGGTTTCATACAAATGTGAGGATTTTTTTTCTATTTCTCTAAAGAATGTCATTGGTATTTCATTAGGGATAGCATTGAATCTATAAATTGCTGAGCAGAATTGTAATTGTAATAATGTTGATTATTCCAATCCATGAGCATGGAATATCTTTCCATTTTTGTATAATATTCTACTTGTTTCATTAGAGTTTTATAGTTATTCTTGTCTAGATCTTACATGTCATTGGCTAGACTGATTCTTAAGTATTTTATATGTTTGTAGCTACTGTAAATGGGATTGCTTTATTGATTTCTTTTTCAGACCACTATTGGCATATAAAAATGCTCCTGATTTTTACATATTTATTTTGTTTCTGCAACTTTACTGAATTTATCAGTTTAAACAGTTTTTTGGTGGAGTCTGTAGGCTTTCTTAGGTATAAGATCATGTTATCTGTGACCAAGGCTAATTTGACTTTTTCCTCTCCAGTGTGGATGATCCTTGTTTCTTTTTCTTGCCTAATTGATCTATCTAGGGCATCCAGTTTTAGTTTGAATGATGGTGACAAAAGTAGGCACCCTTGTCTTGTTTCAGGTTTTAAAAGAAAAGCCTCCAGTTTTTCCCCATTCAACACAATGCTAGATGTGGGTTTGTCATATATGGTCTTTATTATTTTAAGGTATGTCCTTTCTATATCCACTTTGATGAGGATTTTTATCATAAAGAACTGTTAAATTTTGTCAAGTGCTTTTTCGGCATTTATTGAAATTACGTCATTTTTGTTCCTGTTACAGTTGAGGTGATATACCATATTCATTGATTTACATATGTTAAACCACCCTTACATCCCTGGGATCAATCCCATTTGATCATGCTGAATGATCTTTTTAATGTGTTGTATTCAGTTTGCTAGTATTTTGTTGAGGATTTTCATATCTTGTTCAGTAGATTGGCCTGTAGTTTTCTTTTTTGCTGTGTCCTTCTCTGGTTTTGGAATTAGAGTAATGCTGGTCTTGTAAAATGACCTTGGAAGTTCTCCTGCCTCTTCAATTTTCTGGAATAGTTTAAAGAGAATTGATACTAGTTCTTTAAAGTTTTCATAAAATGCAGCAGTGAAGTCCTCAGGTCCTGGGTTTTTCTCTTAGTAAGTCTAGCTAATGGTTTGTTGATTTTACTTTTCAAAAAAAAATCTTTTTGCTTTGCTGTTTTCCTGTATTGCTTTTTAGTCTCCATTTTATTTATTTCTGCACTGATCTTTATTATTTCTTTCCTTGTACTAATTCTGGGTTTGGTTTCTTCTTGCCTAATTCCTTGAGGTGCATCATTAAGTTGTTTATTTGAAGACTTTCTACCTTTATAATATGGGCATTTTTGCCATAAACTTACTTCTTGGTACTGCTTTTGCCATATCCTGTAGATTTTGGTATGTTGTATTTTCATTTTCATTTGTTTTGAGAAATTTTAAATTTCTTAACTTCATTGATTCATTGGTTGTTCTGGAGCATGCTGTTTAATTTCCATGTGTTTGTGTATTTTCTACAGCTCCTCTTGCTACTGATGTCTAGTTTTATTCTATTGTGGTCAGAAAATATACTTGATATGGTTTTTATTTTTTAAAATTGATTCAGACTTGCTTTGTAGCCTGATACGGTCTATTCTAAAGAATTTTCCATGTGCTGATGGAAGAATGTGTACTCTGCAGTAGTTAGGTTAAAGGTTCTTTAAATATCAGTTAGGCCTATTAGATCTAGTGTGTTGTTTAACTCTGTTTCTTTGTTCCTTTTGAGCGGTCTATTACTGACAGTGGAGTATTAATGTCCCCTACTAATGTATTGAAGTTTAGCTCTCCCTTTAGATCTATTAATGTTTGCTTCATACACTTGAGATCTCCAGGGTTAAAGGCATAGATATTTAGGATTTGCATATCATCTTGTTGAATTGACCCCTTTATCATAATATAATGACTTTCTTTGTCATTTTTACAGTCTTAGATTTGCAGGCTATTTTATATAAGTGTAGCTACCCCTGTTCATTTTTGGTTTCCAGTTACATGGAATATCTTTTCCACCACTTCTCTTTCAGTTTATGTGTGTCTCTATAGGTGAAGTGGGTTTCTTGAAGGCAGCACATAGGTGGGTCTTGTTTCTTTATCCATGCAGCCACGCTATGCCTTTTAATTAAATAATTGGTAACTGTTTACATTCAGTGTTATTATTGAAAAGACTTACTACTGTCATTTTTTGGCTTGTTTTTTCTGGTTTTAAGATTCCTCTCTTCCTATTCTCCTTCCTTTCTGTCTTCCTTTGTGGTTAAGTGATTGTATTTGGTAGGATGTTTTAATTTGTTTTTATTTTTAGTAAATTTAGTGTAGGTTTTTGTACTGTAGTTACCATGAGGCTTACCAAGTTATTTTACATAACAAGTTATTTTAAAGAGATGACAATTTATCTTACATCACAAGCAAGATAATAGAAACAAAAGTCAAAAAAACCCACACAAAAAAAGTCTACACTTTAACTCTACCTCCCCACCCCGCACTGTGACATTTAGTCCTCTCAATGTACATATTTTTATATTATCTATCTCCTAGCAGGTTGCTGTAGCATTATTATTTTTGGGTATTTGTCTTTTAGGCTTCATGCTAGATTTTAGAGGAGATTGCACACACTATAAATACAGTAATAGAGTATGCTTGATTTTCCTATTTACTTAATTTAAACAATGAGTTTTTTACCTTAAAGTTTTCTTTTGCACATTAGTGCTCTTTTCTTTCAGACTGATAAACTTTCTTTAGCATTTCTTGCAAGACAAGTCTGGTCGTGGTGAATTCTCCCAGTTTTTATTTGAAAAAAAAAAAAAATCTCTCCTTCATAGTTAAATGTTAATTTTGCTAGATGCAGTATTCTTTGATGACATTTTTTTTTTCCTTTGAGTACTTTGAAAATGTAATTCTACTCCCTCTGCCTGTATGGTTTGAGAAGTCTGTTGCCAGATGAATTTGGAACTTCTTCCTATGTTATTTGTTTCTTTTCTCTGTCATAGTAAACTGCCTTTTGCTACTA